CATGTTTACAACAAGGAAGCTGCATGCAGAGCACTATTGTTAGAAAGTTTGTTACCCATGTTTATCAGAATGATCTGAGTATCATCAGCCAGTACATCTCCTTTATTGCATGAATTCAGCAGAACAAGCAGACAAACAACCCAATCTACCAAGCTGATGGAACAGTTCACTGAAAACTCAAATTCACACAATCGTTCCCTTAACCGAACACAAACGATCCGCTAAGAGGAGACTTTTAGGTGACAAGTAAGACTTCTGCTACTTGTTAGCTGCAGTAACCTTGTAGCTCCAGTGCAAAACTAAAGAAGCAAAGTTTGGACACTAAACATGTCTTGGCAGATTGGCTGTATTTGAAGTAATAGGAAAATTGTGCAAGTTTGATCTCTTTTTTTGGTAAATCATTTTTCTTTACTGGTAAGTATATCAGAGACAGCTTTCTGTATTGTCACTGTGTAAAATAAAATACAAATAAATAAACACTTAATAAATAAGTATCTCCACTTTTACATTTTTATTTCTACATCATTTGAGCACAGCAGATGTCCTTTATATTGTGTCAAAATTTTATGATGAATGAGCGAATAGAAATGTTCCAAAATTGCTTGCAATAAAACTTCTTTACATTAAAAGTGAGTTTTTGCCCTCTCCTGTAAAGTTATCTTTTTGGACATACATGTGTTTATGTTTTTTGTTTGTTTGTTTTTTGTTTGTTTGTTGGACAGTGACAATATCATAATGTACATAAAAGATTCATAAATGATTATAACATAGCCTATCTGTAGTGAATATGTAGGCACTATCAGTTAGCGACCAATCATACATTATTCATTTATTGATTTCTTTATTTTTGCCATACCAGGCCATACACCAATTACAACTCAGACACAAACAACTGGTAGTCATGATCTGGTGACATGACAATCTAAGGTGGGCCTGGTTAAGTAAAATCATTTTCAAACCACATTATCACACGACCAGTTTTACTCTGAAAGTGAAAATAAAATAAAAAACTAAAGAAACCTTTTTGTAGTGGATGTCTTTTTATGAATATTTGTTTGGAAATTTTAATAGACAACAGATAACATGGTGTAACATTTGGAATCATATAAAATTGTCTTGTTTCAATAAAAGAGTCAAGAGGAAAGGTATGGCTTTAAAAGAAATGACTGAGAGGAGGAGAGGGAGGGGGGGTCCCAGTCAACCCACTGCCACGGTGGTGCTCTCCTCCATGCCCAGTCACAGCCTGCTAAGTGAGAGAGAAAGTAATTAAGGAAAGGCTGCTCAAATAGATAGGCCTCCAAAGGAGATTAAAAGAGGGGAACTGATTGTGCATGTCTGATTCCAGCTCATCTGAGAGTTCTCAGCCTGAAGGCTTAGCTTTCAAAGGGTGAGTTACACACAAGAGTAAGTGTATGAGTGTGTGTGCGCGTGCACTCACCGTCACACATACACATTCAAAAACAGTTACACTTAAAGCTTTCCCTTTGTAAATAAAAATTACAATACACAGAACACAGTACAGCACCTCTTCAATGTCATACATGAAATAAATCCATCATTCTATTACTGAATAGTCTCTGGACAGAAGTATATATCATATAAGGTTAAGTTCTAGACTCATCACAACAATTTCAAAAGAATAGACCCCTACGTTTCAGAATATGTCATACTTTTTCAGAACTAGAGGAGTTCTTGCTCAAAGCAGTTCCAGTTGTGCAAAAGTTTGAACATACCAGGTAAAAGGACAGGTTTTGTTGATTTTCTAAGTGAAAATGAGTTAATACATCCTTCTTAAGGAACAAACTGAAATATGGACTTTTTCTAAAATAATAATGAAAAAAACGATTACGTATAAAATGTGCCATAACTTTATTTCTTTCCCTCAATATGCTTAATTCAGCAAATAAAGAGGATATGTTAACTTATTTTCACATAGAAAATCAACAAAATGTAATTTAACCAAGGCACCCAAATTGTGCATATGCCTATACAGTGTTGCACTACTGTGTTGGCATCATCATTTAAAAAAGACAATGACACAATGGTATGAAGCATTAAAAGCTATTTGAGGGCTACTTGACACCCTCTTGCAGAAATTTTAGCCTGCTAAAAGTAAGTGAGTAAGTGATTGAGTTAGTGAGCGAGCAAGCAAGTTAAAAGCCAGTTCAATGAGGTGCTTCACATCTAAAAGTAAATTCACATCTAAAAAAATGAATTATTCACTACAGAATAATGTTTTTTTCATTGCCCATCAAAACAGTATACAGTTTTGAGCAAAAGTCAGAGACCCTTTGGTTTATTCAATTCTGTCAAAATGCCTATTAAGTACAACTTCATTGTTTTTGTGATGTCACAAAAACCAACACATTTTCATATATCTGTCTAGCCCTGTCCATTCACACTAAAGTTATATTTCCACCTAGACTGCTTTTTGAATAGAGCTCATTTACATATATCAGTCATTACATATATCAGGCACAGCAATAAAAACAGCCTGTTTAATTCTAAGTGATAAAGAGAGGATGGAAAATGATCATTTTAAAATGTTTTCTTTTTGGTACAATCACATCTACATCTACAAAACAGATGCAGGATATGGACTCTTTAAGATATAACAGTATGATAACAGCATATACCAAAACGATTTTTATTCATTCTTCCAAAGTGACCCAGAAATGAAGAGGTGTACGTGACTCAGAGGAATGTTCTCTCACAGTCTACATCCACATTCCCAATCTCAGTCCTCATGCTCTGTTTTCCCTAATCTAGTACTAAGACCTTCATGAGAAGAGTCAGGTGATCAGGAGCAGGAAAAAACACAAAAATGTGCAGAGAATGGGATCCCCTGCAACGGGCATGGGAACCACCGGTCTGGATAACTGCCTCTTATCCAAAAGCTGAGTGAAACAACACTGCCCCCCTTCTCTTGCTTTAGCGACACTACAGCCATCACTACAGCCGTTGCAAACATGCCTTTTTGCTCCTACTGTAGTGCCTCAAAAGTCTCTAGGGCAAAATGTTTCAATTTAAAAACTAGGAAAACTCCCTTCTGATGATGTTCTTGAAGGTTGGGAGAGGGATTCCTCATGGTTATATGATGTGTTTTTGTAGTGCATGCTGGGTGACAAATACCATGACAAACATGAAATGCTAGTTTTTGGCCAAAATGCCCTAAAGTAAAGCAGGTTGTGTACTGACTCATACTGCTCCTCTACAACATTCATACCTGCACCTCTTGCGTCTTGCCTCTGCACACTTCAACTAAGTTACTCTCTGTATCTGACAGGCCTGTTATCACCCACAGCTAATCACCTCCTCGTCTCCCCACTGGTGCTCAGCAGGAGGTGTTAGTCCCCTTTAGAAGGTTAAGGAGGGCAGCTGGCACTAGACTGTGGCTGTCTTGATTGCCAAGTCCTGAGCATAAATGAAAGAATGAAGAAATAAGTGACCCTAACTCATTTAATCTAGCTCACTTAACTTGTTTACTAAGCTGTCGTTTTCACGATGTTCATATTGAAAGCAGATTTTTAGTTGTCTGAGATTTCACTCAACTGTAAAGCATATGGTGACTTCAGGAAAAATTAAACTTTTTATCACTATAGTCCATCAAAAACAGTAAACCAGTCACCCACAACTCAAGAGAGAGTAAGTCAAATTAGTGTTTAATCCACATTTCCTTGCTGAAAATGTTGACATTTATTATTAAATTAAATTATCATTATTTATATTACTAACTCTTTGAGAGTACCCCCTTAAAAGCAATATGTTTCATTTTGCTTTTGATAGTGATGCTTTTGAAATGATCATCTAGCAAGTACCTTATTAAAAGGTAATAAAAGAGTACAGACTTACTGGTATCAATTTAATTCCTACCTATTTAAGATGATACACTTAAGGGCGCATAAGGTAATGTTTTTAAATCGCAGATATTGCAGTGAATCATTGCTGGTTGGTTAGTGATAAACTAACTTTTTTGTATTGGAAGCTTCACAGAAAATACATTTAGATTGACTATGTTGAAATAAATATGTTTTTGCTTTTGTTGAGTTTTGACATTTATGTTTGCAGTTTAAGAGAAGACGTGATATAGAAGCAAATTATACAAAAAATCAGAAAAATGATTGACGGGACCAAAATTGTCATTTATGTCTGTAGTGTGTTGCCAAATTGTTTTTGATGCAAATGATTTTAGAAACGCAGCCAAATCTACAATTATAATGCTACATTTATCAAAAATACACATATAAACACAAATATCACAAGATCTAAAGCAATATATCTTGTCATCAGCTGACAAAACAGCAAAGAGTCCCACTTTATCTGAACTCGCATTTCAGTCAAATGGTTTTCTGAGTCACACCATCATGTTTTAGGGTTAATTTTGGAGAAATATCTAATAGCGATTTTTCTGACCAATATTGAATTTGCAATTTAAATGCAATCATTTTCTGTAAATATATTTCCAGAGCTGTTTTTGGCCAAAAAGACCAGAATATCCACCTTTTTCTGTGATGAAACCTTGAACGCTGAATACGTCAAACTGCCAGTTAGTAGTAATGGTTGAGGTGTCGTGTTTCGTTGCTTCTGATTGGTCTAACTCAGGCAATGTAAAAACTCTGTGTTATTAGGTTAAATTTCCCCCATTCAAAACTTTTTAGAACAGCACTGTTGATAAAGTATTCTATAATAAAAACTGCAGCCCTTCCGATGGGTAAATTTCAAATTGCTATTTAAATCAATATAAAAACTATGAATCTTTCAGTCCTAGTTTTAGGGCATCAGAGCATGTTCCATGTTCCTTTCCTGTGTACTTCCTGACTGCGCAATAACACAGTGTTTACTACACAGACAGTATTATTATGATCCTTTAACGTTAAAACGTTTGAAATATGATCACTTAATAAGGCCGGACTGGTGGAGTCAGGTGAACAGACTGTCGTAAAACCTAGCAACTACTTCACAGCAACAATGGCGACTGCATCAACATCGGTTGCCGGCACCGAGGTGCGAGTAGAGCTGCGGTGGAGGAGAGAGCGGCTGCGGCGGCTCGGCCGGAGCCGCGGAAAAGTCACTTCTTTAACGTTTGAAATGCGTGCTTTTTACTTAGAGAAGACGTGGCTCGGTTCAACACGATTCACTTCGTGAATACTGTCTTTGTGAACTGAAGTTGTGGTCTGAATGAGGCGGAATGGCCGCGGTGCCGCCAGGGCCTAACGGCGCGCTGCCCGCATCCCCGGCCGAGATTTGTCTCTTCCCCGGGGACGGGTGCACTCTGCCTGGGGACAGGGAGGCGCTCGAGTGGGAGCTGAAGGACGTGGTTATATCCGACACTGGCCAGGAAGAAGAGGTCGTTGGGCGCAAAGTGGAGCGAAAGAACAACCAGATGTACCCGTTTTCGGAGGTTCACCCCCACTGTCAGGCTTTAGAGCGGCAGGTTAACGGCTTAAATTGCATCGGACACGCCGGGTTTCCCCACAGCAGCACCGAGCCGGGCAACCGCGAGGAGCCGAGACCGGCCATGGAGCTCCGGGACAGCCGTGTAGGATCTGCAGACAGCTACAGCGACAGGCTGTGCTTTCCTCGCCATGATATGAACACGAACGGGGACAGCAGCATTCACGGAATGCTTACTTTATCCAGAACTGAGACTTGTCAGAGTCACACGAGTGATGTGTATGGTAAAGAGGTCGGGGTGAGCGCAGCGGGTCGGCCCAGGCCTGAGGAAGGGGCCCAGTTGACAGGTCAGACTGTGGGTGATGGACCACTGGAGCAGCTGTCAAGGTTAGACTTGAACCACTCGCCCTCCAGAGAAACGGGGCGAAGTCAGGAAATTAAATATGTACGTTATGAGTCTGAGCTTCAGATGCCAGGCATAATGAGACTCATAACCAAGGACCTGTCCGAGCCTTACTCCATATATACTTACCGGTACTTTATCCACAACTGGCCGCAGCTCTGCTTTCTGGTACGTAGTCGGGTACATCTCTGACCTGGTTGAAAGAACTGTCAGCTTCTGCAGGTTGTAAGTGAGCTGAGTGGAGGATGAAAATGCTGATGCACCATCTGTCAAACCAAAGAGAGCAACATTTTAAACCAGCCTGCCCAGTCCTGGTCCTGGAGCTCTACCACACTGGAGAGTTCAGATCCAGCAAATATTCAGATGCCCCTTAAGGCTTTCATACTGGGAACAGATGTTTCAAGTTAGGATGGGAGCTGAACTCTGCAGAGAGGTAGATTGATCTCCAGGTCCAGGATTGGGCACCCCTGTTTTAGAGCATTAGTGAGTGACAGTAGCTGGAACGCACTGTAGATCATCCCAGAAACCCTAGAAAGATCACACACCATCTTGTTTGCCTAATGTTTCATTTGGCAGCAGCCATGTTTTGTTGATGTACTGTTGCTGACAGACTATACAAAAAGGTCTGTGAAGAATTAATAGCCATTCTATCTAAAGCAGCTCCATTCCACCCCCACTGTAAACCCCAAAGGACGGCAACTGAAATCTGAGTTGGTCAGTTCTGTGTTGAGGAGCTTTGCTAACACCGAAGTGGATGCTCTATATAGAATCAGTGAACATTTACGGTTATTGCAGCACCACACACATGTATAGCCACACTGCATTTGTGTACACAGAGCGAAGTTGAGGAGGAATTCCACAGATTTTTTTAAACTTATGCATAAATAAATTATTGAAATGTAAACAAAGTTATTCAGAATGTTTTGATGTGAAATTATGTGTTGTACAGAAACTTACTGACTCAGATTTCTTTACAGTAGTGGTGATGTGAACCAGGGGTTGTAATATCTATAATGCAGGTATAACTTTTATTTACTGTCCTAAATATCTTGGACCCACACTTGTGCCTTGCAACACCCTACATGTACCTACTGGCTATGAATGACTTTACAAAATACATTTTGGCTAAAATCTTATCTCAAAACTATCATGTCTCAAGCTTAAGGCAATATATCTGTATCTATTTAACGAAATAACATTCAGATGTCTGGTCCCTATCACCACCACTGTGAACATTTCTGACTCACTAAGTTTCTCTAGAATGGAGCATTTCACATCAAACCACTCAGAATGACTTTATTTACTTTGTTATAATTATGCAGAACAATCAAATGACTGGTTATCTCTCTTGAAACCTTTTTTTCCCCCACAGATATCAACTTATGAATTCTGTGCAGTTGTGTCATCTTTTTATAATGGACCTCAGTGAAATTTCTCCATCTTGGATTACTTGTATTATCCTAATGTTTACTTTTTTCAGTCTACCGTTAGTACAGCAGTATGACTAATAAGCATAATATATAGGCTAATAGCCACAATACTGTACAGCAGCTGCGAACTTAGACTAAAATCAACTGTGTGAAATGTACAATTAGTCATCCATTTTGAAAACCAAAGCCTTTCTATCCATGTGGTCTGCTGAAACTGTGAAGAAATGCTTTCTCATATAGTGCTCAGATAACCTACAAGCAAAAATGTCAGTAGTTAATAAAGTTCAGTTAATATCAGTGACCAACAGGGGAACATTTATTAAAATTACACATGAAAAGTTATAGTGACTTTTTAGTGTGGTTTCCATGATCATTCAACTTTAGTTGGAATGCAAGACGTCTGGAGCACTGTGCACCTTTGAAATATTTGGGGCAAATATGGAAAATTGATTTGGGTGGACCAGAGCTGTTTGCACTGATATTGTTGTATAACTTGCTGATGTTGGATTGCTGGGCATTAATCTGTGTGGATGTTGTGAATCTCAGGCTATGGTAGAAGAGGAGTGCGTTGGGGCTATTGTGTGTAAGCTAGACATGCACAAGAAGATGTTCCGGCGTGGGTACATCGCCATGCTTGCTGTGGACTCCAAACATCGTCGAAAAAGCATAGGTTAGTGTCACTTTATGTTGTTAACTAAATGCTTGTGTGTAAAAGCGTAATCTTCTCAACAGGGTGGGCAGTGTAACAGGTACGTCACTATGTTTTTCTGAGAGTATCGTGCATATCATCAGTAGTTAAAAAAACACTGAACCACAAAGAGAACATAATTTGTCCTGTTTAACCTGATTTTGTGCAGTGAAGCATTGAGTAAAATCATTGTATTCAAAGTTTTTGATAGTATTTAAAATGTGATGTTATTTTTGTGTCTTTTAGCTTGTCCTTAAAAAAAGAAACATCACACATTGTGAATATGTCAAGTACTAAGTATTGGATTGAAGTTGTTGTTTTGATATTTTGAGAGTTTGATATAATAATGCACATCATAGAAGCAGTAATTAATTTTCTAAAGTCTTCCCACTGGGCACTCTACAGAACTGTCCTTGACTGACTTTTTTTTTGTTGACTTATTTTAGGCACGAACCTTGTGAAGAAGGCCATCTATGCTATGGTGGAGGGAGACTGTGATGAGGTTAGTTGTTTCTTTCTTTCTTTAATTCTTTCTTTCTTTCTTGTGACACATTTTACTTCATTTGATTTATTTCTCAGGTTATTATACTGGGATAAAGGGAAGCCTAATACACAGGGTTTAATGAAAGCAATAGTTTGACAACAGAGAAACAGTGATTTAAATGTACATTTTGTATTATATTAGTTGGTATTCATAAGCTTCCATTACTTGTCAGGTACACAGATCTTGCAACATGTAAGAGGGAAATTGTATGAATTTGATTTTTCACCAAACTGTGTTGTAATATTGATAGCAAGATGTTATTAACAGAAAAATGTATATATGTTTATCCAGAAATTTCACTCTAATCATTTACTCTTTCTGTTGTTTGCTTCTGTATTTACAAAAGGTGGTGTTGGAAACGGAGATCACTAACAAATCCGCCCTGAAACTGTATGAGAACTTGGGCTTTGTGAGAGACAAACGGCTCTTCAGATATTATCTCAATGGGGTGGACGCCTTGAGGCTCAAACTGTGGTTACGCTAAGCTCTGTCCAGTCTCTTTTACTTCAACATGGTCCAGTCAAAACCGGACTCCACTAATTCTGTAAGCCTTGGTGCAAATACTCAAGGCCACATTCATTTGTCATTGTTGGTCAAGCAACTGAAGAACTGTGTTTTATAGATCTCTGATGGAGTCCAGGGACATTAGTGAAGGGAAAAGATGGTTAAAAGAACATTAGTGTAGAGACTGAAGCCCTCTTGTATGTTTGTTGAGTCCTCTGGGAGAGTGAGTTTGGGGAAAAAAAAAAGACTGAATATCAGTAGCTTAGCAGAGTGGAGGAGAGCCTGGGAATACAAAAAGTTTAACGGAACAGCAGCTGGACTAAAGAAGTAACACAAGAAAGGATTGAGTTCTTGACATTTGTTGAGGTTTGTGTTTAACTTTGAACTGAGGCTTGGAGCAAGACCATTTTGTTTCCTCATCTGTGTCTATACAGTGGCTTAGGGATTTGAATGCTGAGTGCAGGTTTGTTCTTTATGTAGTCTGGTGTGGGTGCTTGCTTGCTGTGAGAGTTAGAGTAATTTAGTGTGTGTGGTAGTAATGTGCATATTGGTGATGCTGATGTGTGGTTTGTGTATGCATAGGTGTGAATGTGTGGCCTGGCAATCAAGCTTTCACTTAGGATTGTTCAGCATGTTCAGTCTGGCATTAACACCAATTGAGAGCCATTTCTTCAGCCATTTTTAGCCATTATGATCTGAAGTTCTGATGTTATGAGTTACAGGGACAGTTCAGCTCATGCATGAACAAATACATGGACTGGAAAGCACAAAGACTATAGCTGTCCACCTTGACACAGATGCTGCTCTCGTGCATAAATAGTTCAGAGTTGGAGTGATGCCAGACTGAAAATATGGAAAGGAGCTAGTTGAAAGCGCGGCTCCTGTCTGGCCAGGGTGGGTGTAGATTCTGAGAAATTCTGCTTGTATGGAATCTCCACTTTAAACAGTTGCTTTTTATCCCTGCAAGAATTTGTTTGGTTTTTAGGTCAGAGATGGAAACAGTCTTGTGTAGTCAGCCTTCAGCAGAATACAGATAGGCCTCCTAAACATAAACTATTATAATTAACATTTGAGGAACGTGAGCATTTTTTGATTGTTGTTTTTTCTATAAGATCTTTCTCTGTTTTCATAAAACCTAACTAAAGATGATTTCATGTGTAATGTACATATGACTTTACTGCTTGGACAGCGAAAGCCTTCACACAGTAAGCAGTGATTGAAAGAATAAACTCATAGTTCTTTGACTTCAGGAGGAATTTACTTGATTAATAATAAAAGTAGTCCTTGAGAAACTACTAGATTTTTTTGCAGGACAGCTGTGTGATAGCTATTTTCTTAGGTCTTACAAATGGTGTCTGTTCTAACTACTAAGTTTTAACAAAAATTTGCAAAACTTTCTAAGACATGGAATACTGATCAGAGGATTGACTGACTCTTCAGAGTAGGGATGCACCAGTTCCATCATCTTTACAGCCAAATTGTCCTTTTCTGTCAGCCCTTTCTTTTACACGCCGTGTGTGCTAAATGAACACAAACACTCTAGCATGTTTCTAGTACTTTGTTAGCCAAAGTTGCAATATAAATAACATTATTTTCTTAAACCTGCATACTACATTGTAAACAATTATGCACCTTTTAAAGTAAGAAACATGTTAAATTTTGAGTTAATTGAACTTTTTTTAATATTAACAAAATAATAATTTGCTTTACATACTTTTTTTACAGGATAGCATTGAAATACAGTGTGAGTGCACTTATCTGGCTCACATTATTTACATCATGAAATTGCAACACAGATCAGCCTGAATAAAAAATAATAATCGCGTATTTGGAGTAGAAATCTGCCGATTCCAAACGTCCACAATTCCAATCTTCCCCGATTCCAATTGTACATCCCTGCTTCAGAGGATTAACCATATTTTGACACAAAAAAGTCCACATAACGAGCTGCGGATAGCATGTAAAAGGCTTTCTTGATCTGAGACTGATTCAAACTTTCACATGCACCCATTTTTGTCATTCACTGGACCTCAGTCAAAGTATGAATGGAAGTTAGTTTAAGGAATTTTGTGTCTTATGCTAGCACTGATTCCAATTGGACAACAGTGTCCTTGTCTGACAGCAAGCTGAGCTTGTTATGGTCTCAACTTGTTAAGTATTATCTTTTTTTTTTCCACCGGAAAGCCACACTTACAAGATCTTGGAAAGATTCTAAGGTTGTAAATTGCATTGTGTCTAATTTAAAGTTTGTCTGATGGCGGCTTAATTTGGTACATACTAAAATACTATTAGCAATACTGCTTTTGACGAAGGGTATGGGAATACAGAAATTCTGCGAACTTGCTACATCAAACTCATGTTGACAAATCCTAATAGTTTAGAACACAATCAAATCTAAAAAAAAATTCCCCAGCCCAGATTCTATAAGGGAGAGGAAATTGTGGCACAATGCAGTTTTAAAGCATTTAATTGTGGCATGCAAAAGTATGCATTTATTCTGCCTTTTTTTGTTTTTGTTCCAGAGTATATGGAAATATGTTCTATTGCACTTTGATTCAATGCTGCTGGTGTATGTATCTATGTGCATGTCTGTGTGATTGTCTTTTGGAGTTTGTCTCCTGGATGCTAGGTAATGACACCTCACCGTGTGCTTGTGGAAGCAATCAGAGTCCTAAATGCTCTCCAGACTCAAAAATGCAGTGCTACTATTTGAAACATGGGAGAAGAAGGAGTTAGGGGCCAGTCACTGTGCCATATTGTGATGAGGGCAGGAGAGAGCGGATGGACCTTTCCATATTCTTAAATAGTTCTGCGTGTCTTTGTTTGTATGTGGATTAGTTGTCCGGTTATTTTAACTCTTCTCACTGAGGAGGGGAAAAGAGTGAGTTATGTGGATTTTCTTTATGATCATAATACCATCCTGATGTGAAAGCTTGAGTTCTGCTGTCTGTGTGCTTCAACCATTTGGACTCCATCCTCAGGTGAATTCAGCCCACAGTGCCCAACCTCAGAGAACACGAAATATTGATGATAGACTGTCTATCAGGACTGTCCATTGTCAGGAAGAGGACATGATTACAGACTGTGAAGCCTTTTGAACAAAAGAAATCACCACAGGGGCCCATACAACATGTAATAGCTCTTTGATTTGTATTTCCAAGTGAGTGTTTTGTCATGGACATTGATTCAACTGCATATTTCTATAATGTTGAGGTCTAAGCCTACAATTTTAAGGCAAACGGGACTTACTTGGATTCCTTGGTGCTCTTGGTTTTTCCTTGGCAAGTGAAAAGATCCTCCCTTCTGTCCTTCACCTACCCCAGAGCTTGACAAAGCAGTATTATTCCAGAAGGTGTAAGCGATATCTGACAGTATGCCTGTGTGTTCCTCAACTTAAGGCCTGGTAGAGTTGGAGTAGAAGAGAGTGCTACTATATATTCTTAATGCAAATGGTTGTCTATGGATGCAGAACTGTATGGTTTCTCATTCTGTATTTTGTTTGTGAAGGGTTTAGGGACAAGTTTTGCATGTCATTTTATTCTGCTTCTCCTGCCTCGTTTGAATTTCATTTTAAAACTAAAAATGTCAAGATCTTTTATTTAATGTGGATAGAAAAAAACTCAGAAATAAATTATTTGATTTTTTCACTGATGTCATGTGGATTATTGTTATTCTAGGGATTCAGGAACACTTTGTTTCCGTGTTTCCCCTTTGAGGTTCCAATGTATAAAACTGTTTGAGAAACAAATTTAAAGGAAAACTCCCAAGTCAGCAAAAAATATTCATTAGGTCCTTTAATGTAACAGCAAAAGTATGGATGTCGATGTACATACTCACAGGCAATGTGTTTTATAAGCACAGAGGGCAGAGTTGGGAGATTGTCACAAAATGCATTAGAACATGACATTCAGTTTAACGATAACAAAATGTGAACAATGACAATAATACAGCAAAAATGAACCATATGTTATATACAGTGGTTCATCCTATGCAGAAATGAAGTACAGAGACTACCCTATATTTTTACTTTCCTGTCAAAACGGGCATTAGGTATAACTTATTCAGTCATAAAAGTTATCCATTCAGGAGAAATTTCTTGAGAGATTAAATATAAGATAATAAAATTATAAGCAAGAGGAATGTAAGTGGGGGGAAATTAAGTTTCCAACTATTCATGATGGGATTTGAAAGGATGTGTATCTTTCTAGTCTGCAAATCAAAGAAGCTGCTGGTGATCTCAGAACAATAGACTGACCTCCCCAGAGCCCAGACCTCAATTCATTGAATTAGATTGGGATTGCTTTGATCATGACAAGCAAAAAATGCAACCAACTTCAAATACTGAACTTTGTAGGTGTGGAAAAATATCCCTGCAGATTTCTTTGAAAAACTGAAAAAAAGTCTCTTGAAAAGAATGGAGCCAAAGGGTTTACACACCAAATATTGAAGGATTGATAACATATTTAGTTGTAAGGGTGGTCTCTGACTTTTGGACACTACTGCATGTGTTCACTGTAATCAGCTCCCAGACATTAGAAGGAATAAGGGTCTTGGTTTTCCATTAGTGTACAGTATCACCTTTGGACATTTATGTCTCTTTAAAAGACAAAAAACATTAATATTTCATGATGATTCAAAGCTTACATCAGCATAAACTCGGACACAGAAATGTATTGTCACTTAAATAAGCAGCTGTATTTAAAGTGGTTTTGACTTGAAGAACTTTACACAAAAAACAATTTATCCTTTCTAAATACAATAGGATTTTTGCACTAAATTCAACTGTCATTTTTACAAATAGGAAAAATGTAATCTACAGAAATCCAAGAATATGACTTATTTATTCTTTATTCACAGAGACATTAACCAATAACATCCTGCCATATTGCAGTGAAGTTCATACATTAATTATATTAAGTAATGTACATACATATGTCTTTATATACAGCTAAACAGTTAGTGTGACACTAACTTCACATATTGGGGCTTGCTTATTTCAAATATGTGGTGATTGGATCTGGATGAGTGAGAGATGGCCCATGTCCAAGAGGAAACTATCTGTGAGATTGAGAGCCTAGAACATGTATCTGACATCTTTCTGCCACTTTGTATTTCTGTTTAGGTGGAACATGGGACACGCATGGCTGGTGTTAAGTGGATTCAAAATTCATCTTCTGAGCTGTCAGCCAGTAGCATTGCTTGATCTGGTCCATTTCTCACTTCTCTGGGCTGCTGTAGTGAACAAAACACATCATCAACACACACAGTGATCCTGAACAGATACAACTGCTGAGCGCAGCTGTTGGCTGAAGTCCAAGTAGACAAATCCCATATTTAAATAAGCCTTATCGAGGGACTACCTTAAGATACACTATATGTCCAAAAGTGTTTGTAGACACCTGCACATCCAACATCCTTCCAAAACCAAAGGTATTAATAGGGGGTTTGTTCCCCTTTGCTGCAGTAACAGCCTCTACTCACTTCCCAGTACAACACAGTCAATGTATGGAATCTAAGCTGCAGAAATAATCTGTTTTTTTCTTGTGATTTCACAAAAACCAGTGCATTTACATATATACTGGGCAAATTCAGACGATTAACTCTAAAATTGTAAAACGTCTTTCAGCCAGGACTGTTTTTTGAATGAGGAATAATACAGGGAAACCAAAACAGAGCTCTTACATACAATCATATGCACAAGTTGGGGCATGTTTACGTCGTGTTTATTTCCTGAGTGAAAATAACTTAACACAACCTCTACAGATGACACATTCCTGCACATTTAAGTCCAGTTACTGTTTATGTGCTGGATTTATCATATTGGGGGGGCGGGGGACATAAAACGTGGCCAACTCAAAAGTTGTGGAACTTTTTTCCCAATTTTTGGAACTTTTTTTTGTTTTCAATATATTTATAACTGGACAAATAAATAGAAAATTGCCATGTTCAAATGTTTTCCCTATAGAGGATTTGTTAACAAAACATGTAATTTGACCAGGGGGTTTCTGCATAGTTTCAAGTTTCAGGTTTCAAGCAAACGTTATACAGTTGTATGCTGATATACAGCATACAACTGCATATCAGTCTTAAAGATGCAGTAACAAAAACAGCCTGTTTAATTCTAAGCGATAAAGAGAGGATGAGAGAGGAGTGAGGAGTGAGAGAGGAGTGGTGTAAAATGTATTTATGTCTGTTTTAGGTACATAAACCCCATAAAAAATGATAAAGAATGTAAAGAAAATGCAGGCCCTTTAAAGTAGCCCAATGCATTAATTAGAAGGGGTGGTTCAATTCATTAATTAAAAAAGATCATTTTGGGCATATAGTGTATGTTTGTATTAAGCTTTTTGTTTTCTCCTCTTTCACTTACCTTCCGCCTTTGGTGCTTGAAGCTGTTCTTCCTCTTGCGATGGATCATTCTGATGCTATAAAGTGCTCCAACAATAAGAAGAGCACCAGCAATACCGATGCCTACAGGTACTAGCATCCCTGATACATAGCCAGCCTTAAAGAAAGAGAAGAGCATTACACTTCTGGCTGATCTAAGTCAAGTCAGCTTTTATTGTCAATACTACAATATGTACAGGACATACAGAGTATTGAAATTGTTACTCTCAGACCCCATGGTGTAGTGATAACATTAAATAGACAGTAAACAGGAAAAGTGTGAATTTAAATAGACACAAAAAAAACACTAATCATAAAAAATAAACACTAATTGTAGAAAAATAGTATAATATAAGAAAAAAATAATATAAGAAGGTCCTGAAATTAACACTAAAGTGACGTAAGGCACATACAGATTGAGGTCTGTGGGTAAAAATAGTGCAAATATAAACCGTAGTGCAATTAGAACGAGCTTATGGAGCTGTTAAAGTGATGGGTGCATAACAGTCCCTGAGAATGTCAGAGTTCAGTATTGGTGAGTGGGGGTCAGGAACCTGTGTTTGACCAATACTGTCAGAGTTCAGTATTGGGGAGTGGGGGTCAGGAACCTGTGTTTGGGTCCAAACTTTGTGTGTGTGTGGGGCAGAAGGGAGGGAGTGGGGGGCAGAAGGGAGGGAGTGGGGGGGGGCAAAGTAGGGAGAGAGTTGAGCATCCAAACTTGAACCACAAAACTTTCTGAGAAGTCACTTACCTTTTCTCGGATAAGTTCAACCCAGCTACGTACTGAAAGAAAACACAAAGAACCATTATTATTAACAAGAATGATTATTTTCTGATTTCTACAAAAATTTGTTGTACGCTTGAATCTCTCCGACTGGATGCTTCAAGATTTCAGTGAGTGCAACCTAATGAAATTATTAAATTGTTTGCAAACTAATAAGGCTTGTCAAGGTAATGGTTTACTAACAATCAAATTATTATCTTAAATAACCATATCGGCTAAATTGAAGTGCATAGCATATTTAAAATTCATATTCTATATTCATTAGTACTTTTTCTCCAGGTCGCTCTGGTCACTGACTCACTGAGGCCTTGGTTCTGCTGCCCCCACACTGGTGGAGGGGGGATGAGGCTGTAAGGAGGACGAGTAGGGGTGCGGACAGTGGCTTCAGTCAAGTTCTCTTCACTATCCTCTTCTTCCTCCTCGGATTCATCTACATCCTCATCCTCTTCATCCTCATCCTCTAAAACACAAATGTGTAAGAAGTTACACTTGTTAGAACTAAAACTGTCACAATTGCTCGATTTAACTCAATACCTTGTTTAAAAAAATATTAATTACTATTTACCTTACTAATAAATTTGCAATAATTAGCTATTAATGACCTGATTACTAATATAATCAATAGTAACAGCCGCAGTAAGAACAGACCTTCTGATTCCAGTTCCTGCAGCCCTGACTTCATTTTCAGCACCGTTGAGGGAGTTGGCTCAGTGTCTGTACCCTTCTGAGTAGTGACTGACACAAGAGAAGGTGATAAAGTTCCTGTAGAGGCCGAGATGACATCTGTATCTGGAAGAATCAGTCATTTTTAGCATTTTCATCTTTTTGCCTACTCCTCTGTTAATTTGCTATAGCCTATTCCCAGTAAAGTACAGAAGTATTCTGCCAGGAGCACCAGTGTAGCACAGTGAGGGCTGCACTTGCCTCCTTAGAGGATTATAAAGCATGAAACCTGTCTCCTTTTTCTGCCCCACTGCTCTGTACTCACTGAAAAACTATACATAATGCCTGATTGTATGAGTTGCTGTTTAAAAGAAAATTTGAAGAAAAAAAAATTACACCATTGTCTCCTTACCCCAAATGTAGTTGATGTAGTTGAAAACAAAAAAATGGACAACAGTAAGTCACCTAGCTAAAACTAAGAACAGCAGCCAATATAGCCTGGATTTGTTCTGGAATTTAGTCCATTTTTTGTCAGAATCCACATAAGCAAATCTAGTTAAGACTACTGAACAATTCAACATGGCCCTATCAGGGGAAGATCGCACGTTCGAGAAAAAAAAGAGAGAACATAACTGCCCTCGCTTTCTGTGAGAGCCCATCCTCTCCTCTATCACTCAGCACATTACTGGCCTACGCAGCAATGTAGCTGACATAACAGAATTGGCAGTTAGTGCTCTCCTTCAAGCGTGTTGAGCTATCCAATGATGTTGCATTAGCAATGGTTTGAAAAGGTTCACTGTCTTAGAGGATGCTTGTG